AGTAACTAAAATACATTTCGTTTCTTATCCTAGATGCTATTCACATGGAGAACAAAAGTCTAAGACAGTCACCTCTAACTTATGTAGTGATACATATATTCCTACCATTCTAAGAGTTACTACTATTTACAGGCAAAATTGTTTAGAATAGTAAAGCCGACAGTACAGTTAGGGACCAAGAAGTTTCATGTCCCTTCCCCTTGGAAACACATTAGTTCGCAGAATCTGCACGATGGTTTGCTTCGGGTGGTGTGGCTACAGGGGCTACGTTGGGGTTGTGAGGTTGTGGGTCATATTCTTCATTATTATCCAGGTTAGGGGATTCTATTGGCTACCCTTCATGAGCCCCCTGCAGGTGGCCACTGAATGTCTTGTATTGGCAATCCATTCAGAATTTCCTAGTACAGGTTGGGATTCCTTTCAATACTTAGTGCTTGGCGGAGCACCCTCGACTGCGAGGTCAGTCTGTGATGTACTAATTTTTTCTATTCCAAGATTAGCATGAATGGCCAATTTTGGGACACATCTTGAATTTCGCGGACTATCAAATTGTAGGCCTCTATATTAACTCTAAGAGTCCGATATTAACTAGCCGCCTCGGAGCCCATGTTACTATGAGTTATGTAAAGATCATCCCAAGATGCCATACCTATAGTCATAAAAAGTTTGTTCTATTGATAAAAACAAATAATATGTCCGTAAAACATGTTCATTATTAGTAAATTAATCCCACTATTTAGTCTATATATATAATTCCCATGTAAGATCTAATTATAGGCTCTTATACCACTCTTTAACGCCCTGAATTTTTTTTTTCTTCTAGAAAAAAATAAATACCCGGGCGTGATTAAGGAATAAAATTACACCGAACTTACGATAACTTTCCTTGTATTATTATATTTTGCGTATAAGTACATAATCCTCACATGATCATTACAAATATTCTTGATACAAAATAAAGAGAAATAATAATAACAGACTCTATTTATCATCCTTTTAGCTTATCCTCCAGCTCAATTTCATATATTTGAAAAATGTTAGATAGAGATGAGCTCACCAGCTCAGTAGGATAACGTTTATCAATGACTACCAAAGTTTTAAAACAATGCATAATATAATTAAACCACGGATAAATGCAAGAATAAGGCAAAATAATGAATCAAATAAATAAATAAATTTCAGTATATATCGATCATATCAATCCGTCAATTTTCTGGTCCTCGCATGAACCGCCTCCAGAGAAAACTTTGGGGTCTTGCACCCTAGGGAATCCAATGCCCTTCTTGTTTTTCTGAAAACACCAATACCGAAAATTATGTGGTGCCATACAGGCTATCACGGCAACAGATATTACTAACCGGTAAACCCAAGGACTAGTAGGAATCTTGTGAATCTTCGCAAGGATCATGCATCTACTATCTCTCTGCCCTCGATTATGTGCATTCATAGTAATTTCATCAAAATCACAAAAATAAAGTCATATCGTAGTCAGACCCCATAGAAAATCAAACATTACATATTAATAATGAAATAAACATTTATTATGCAACATGGTTTCATGAGCTAATTAGGGTCTCGATAAAAATACAATATGTGCATATTAAAAATAGATTTGATATGAAACTCCCAAATATGTATAAAATGCATTAATGATAGTAAAAGATAAAAGAAACCCTACCTCTTTCTTGACTTCTATTCGATATCGTGTATTGTGACAAAATAACCAAAATAATATTTTAGAATAACAATAGGTAATAAGGGCTTAGTTAACCTAAAATATTTTTTTTAAAATAATTAACGAAAGATAATGATACTTAAATTTGATCTGAAAATATTTAATAAAGATCAAATTTAAGTGACTCGAACATATAAAATTTACTAAATAATAACTAAAAAATTTTACCCAAAATTTTGATCTCAACTGCAAACTCTTAGGTCAACAAAATTTTTGACCCTTTTTCCCTCTTTCTTCTCTTTCTCCCTTCCTTTCTTCCTCCCTTTCTCTCTTTTTCCTTATGTCGTTCAATGTACTGGGCTTGGCTATTTATAGCCAAAACTTGCTTGGGGACCAAGCATTCTCATGGACAGCCGTCCATTCCCTGAACATGTCCTCTTTTTTTTTTTTTCTCTTTTTGCACGTTCTCAAATCTAGTATAGTATCTTTCACATAAATATCTTTCACATAAATATCTTCACATAGATATGAATATAGTCGATATTTGACCTAAATTATAGTCATTTAACTCGTTTTTACGCGAAGAGTCCATATTTGGGATCCATTTGTTCATAAATTTTTTTTATTATTTATTTATACATATATATATAAAATAATTCTTAATTATATAGAATCAAAATTACTAACCTAATTAACGTGTTAATAATTTATATATATTTGGGTCATCACTAGGGGTGTTCAAATTTTCGACCGGTCGCAAGTTCCTACCCTACCTGACCCTACTCTACCCTACTGAACGACTAGCTGCAAAAATCGGATAGGAATGCTGAATAACCATCTATTTTCGCATTTCTATCCTACCCTACCCACAATAATTTTTTAATATATATATTTATATATATATATAAAAACTAAAAAAACCCTAAACTCTAACTACAGGCGGAGCAATTATGATTTTAATGTATTTCATATGATTTTTAATTTAAACATAAATTAATTTTTATTGTATTTGTGTAACAATTATGGTAGATTGATGTTCATACTTTCTTGTGTTTTATTATAATTCTTGATGTAGTTGTTTTAGATTTTAATGTTAATTGATTTATTTTGTTGTTAAATTGGTGCATGTTATTTAATTAAATTGTTAAAATGATCCAAAAGTTAATTGTTACAAAAATGTTTATCCGATTTCTTACCCGACTTCCTACCCGATTAATTGGGTAGGAATACCACACCTGTCGGGTAGGGTAGGCCAAGAAAAAATTCTTCCGCAAAGTATCGGGTAGGAAAACGAAAAAGCATATTTCCTACCCGTAGAATAGGGTGAACACCCCTAGTCATCACACACACACAAACTTACCAAAAATTGCCATAGAAGTTTTCAGAAACACCTGAGTTCCACCACTAACAATCAATCATCAGTTGGTCAAAGTAAATTTGACCACCGTTGTAAGTTGATTTCATATTGTGTACAGAGAGAGTGGCAATTCAATCTCTTTTGAAAGTTCTAGTTTGCGTTTCAAGATGTCTTTTAGATCTCTCTCATCTTGTAGAAGAATCTAATTCACAAGTTGTCATCCAGAAGCAGTTCAGCTGGAAATTGAAAAAAGTTTTGGCAAAAATCTCTACTAATTGCAAGTTTAGGTATGCCTATGGCTAATTTTGTTGCTAAGGGGATTCAAAGGGGTGACCTCATTAAAGAGTGGGATTGTTTCCCTTGTTTTTTATTTTTGGCTTGAAAACTCAGAAAACATCTAAATTATGTTCTCTAGTTTTTGTTCACAATTCCCACTTTTTTTGAAAAATTGTTTTTGAAAATTGCTATCCAAACAGCATCTTACAAAATTTTGTGTTTTGAAAACAAAAAATTGTTTTCAAAACACAAACCAAACACCACATAAATTTTTTTGGTCAGATGGTTTTCTAAATCTTGCCACTTTTTGGTCATTGCCATGGCAATTCAGATAAGCATGATTCTTGTTCCTTTCGCTAGATGATGAAATGTGCATAAATGCCTCAACTCAATCCCATAGGCACAGAGGGTAGAGATGACTTTACGGTTGCTTTCTATGACAAACCTTTGGTTGTTGAGCATAAAACAGGCTTCCATGATTGTCATTGCTTCACATTGACTTGAAGAAGAAACTCAAACTGATTTCAGCTTTCCGATCTTTAAAACTCTTTATACAATAGCTTTTATTATGAGCCTAATGCTACCTTCGGGTGAATGAGGGAGGAAAGCATCAGAACACTTGGATTTCCCCTAGCCCCCAGGATCCACCCAGACCTAGGGTAGGGAAGGTGATTGGTATTTATATATGTGACCTCTAAATTGCCTTCCTTTGGAGAGTGAACTCAGCTCACACCTGGCCTGCAAGGCCAGATAGATTACTAATATAAATTTATGTTTCCTGTTGAGTGATCTTGTCTTGAGCCTTCCAAATCGCCAGCTAACCAATAGCGGCTTCACTAAACCCTCCCGCTTCCTTTTGGTCACCTCTCAGATCAACGGGATTAGACCACTCCCATCCAGACCTAAGATGTTAAGTGGAGTCAGAGTGTTGGACACACTGGTGAATCTAAACGTTATCAGCAAGAGATTCTATCTTGTGGTTAGGGCCAGCTTTAACTAGAAATGTCTAACATTGGGAAGGACCTTAATGTTCCACACTATCTTCTTACACTGGCAGCTTGGAACAAGAGACTGAACTCAGTGGGAAGCCTTTCTGGCAAGTATATCATAGCCCATACGATGCCTGATTTAATATTATTCCATCCTTTGAGATTGTACTGCCAGATTCTCGTCTCCTCCACTATATGCTAATAAGAATGGATGAAATGACCATGTCTTCTGATTCGTATGAGAGGGAATGAAGCTGTTGGATGTCCCAGCTTCCTGTATCCTGTTTTAGTCACATTACTGACTTGCGAGCCCAACCTCTTTTGATATGATCAAGGCTAGAAAGAAATACATCAAAAAAATCATCCACTTGTTCGACCATGTCCATTGACTTTCAGCCAAGAATTCGCCAACTAAGTTAACCCTTTGAAACTGCTCTCCCCTTCGTTTTATTTACAATAAGCCAATTTTTAATGTTGGCACTCTTGTTTTTGTGATGCAACGCAATGGAATTAAATTTTTTTAAATTAAAGTATTTCAGGATCTGAAATTCATGTTTTCTGCTGTTTTGGTGACCACAATTTATTCTTAGACCTTGAATCTGTCATTAGTCTGTAGTCTTCTGCAATATGCTTTCATGATATTATTTGTTCTTTTTCCTATGAATATCTGACATTGAAATGTATTTTCGCAGCTTGTACATCAATGGTCAGCAATGACTCGCTGGATTACCCTTTTCTGGTTGCTAACGATACTTACACCTTCACAGCTAAGCACTGTGTAATGTGCAAATGTGATGCTGCAAACAACTGGGCGTAAGGCGATCACTGTTAACGTTCTCCTCTTCCTCTTTGGCAACTTCTCTGCCCTTAAATATCTGATACTCTTATGTCTCCTATCTGTTATTGTTTATGTTTTTTTAAACTTGTGTCTTCAGATTACAATGTGAGTCATCCCAGATCAACTCATCCAAGTCATCGTGCCCTTCTATGCAATGTCAAGGTGCAGATAATCTATACCTTGGGAATACCACGTCTTCCACTTGTAATCGCACGTTGTGTGCCTATGCTGGTTACAAGGACCAAATCATTCTCACAAGTCTTGCTGTGGATTCCACTTCCACTTGTCCAGGTAAGTGATCATTACTCACTATTTCCTCCTATAGACTGACTAGCCAAAAACTGAGTTGATGTATGATTGAAGGTAGGACCCCGATATTGATAAATGACTACATAGGATAATTTGGTCCTCAAGAATTTTGGACATCGGTTTCTATTCATGTTAACCAACTGGCCTGTAGCTGTCACCAAGAGTAATATGAAATATTGTTGGTGTTTTGTTATTATTGATGAGTTCATGTATCGCCATGCTATTGCTGGTCAATCAGTGGCATATGGAATATGAGGTATGGTCCATGGAAGAAGAGTACCTTACAAATTTTCCCCTCTGGAGGTCATGATCTGAAAAAAAATCCACTTACATGGACTGACCATTGGAAGTAGGCCATGTGCACCATAGATATTTTCCCCTCCTTGAAATTTCTACTTGCAGCAAAATTAATTATGAATTACTATGTAAATGCCCTGTATATCAGTCTGGAAAGAGTTCGTAAATCAAACTAAATATGAATCTCCTTAATAGATTTAAAGGTCCCCTTCGAACAAAGGATAATGACAGCCAGAGGAACGTTTGGCTTTCAAATGCTAACTTCGACGCAATCAAGTGTAACGACCTAAATATAATTTTGTATAGTTGAGGGGTGTCTTTGATAGGCTATGAATATTGACCTTTTTAGGAACTATTTATTGTTAACTGGAATTTCTTTTGTTGTTGACAAACAGCTCCTCATAATAATTCTCCCAAGGCCAGCTTGCAAGGCTGGAGATGGAACATCGTTCTGATTGCGACCCACTTGGTTGTGCTTGGCATTCATCTATTCCACTAAGATCTGTATATTTGGAAGAGACTAAGCTATTTATGTAATGTAGGAAGGTGGGAGAACATTGTTATAACGTAATGCATCTCTTTTGTACTTGTGATTAAGCAAATTTTGTTTCCTTCAAAATGGCACTTGCGGAAAATGGTGATATATGATTCGAAGATGAGTAGATATTGAAGGGTGCAAAATATGACAGGAACTTCAATGGGATATTACCCATTTACCCCTATAATATAATTGTGTAGGTTGATTTCTGTGCGATAGATTGGGATGGTGAGAAGTTTCCAATGTATTACATCGGATGTCTAAGTCAGTTGACGTTCAAGGCAAAGATGATGAACAATTGCAGCTTTGGTTTTGAGTGTGTGTACTTGAGACCCAAAACCCTTTGGACTATTTATACTCTGAGAGATGATGACAAGAAAACTTATGAATCACATCAAGTCAACTGGTCTGACATTTTACGGGTGAAATATTTTTTTGAGCATGTCATATCAACTATTTTTTTGTCCTCGAGCCACACATTTAGTATGTCTATGGATGTCCCATAAGTGCTCGGGGGCCTAGAATTTAATGGTGTTTGTTAAGTATTTATTGAGCCACACAGATGATTGAGTGAGATACACCAACCATTACACTTATGTAGATGTCTCCAAGATGTCACTCAATTGACCTATGTCAATAAAGATCATGTTTTTTTGGGTTATTCGTGGGATTTATTGTTGGTCTCAATGTTGATGCGACAAAATGAATATTTGTCCTCTGTTACACGTCATGTCAATTAATGGGCACAAAGTGAATATTTCAAGTTGAATTAATTTTCGGACACCCTTGTTACGTATGAAGTGTATTTAGCTAATTTGTGTTGTATTTTGCAATTTTCGTCTTACTAACTTACTTATCCGTTTAGTATATGAAATGGTTAAAGCTAAATTTAGACATTTAAATTTGTCTCAATTTTGTGTTGAATTAGTGAATGGTGTCGTTTAATGACTGAACTGTTATGCAGTACTTCCAATGTTTAATCGTTTGTTAGTGATATGTTCTGCCCAACCAAATATTTTCTTCACAATTCATCTGAAAAGAAGGAACCAATGAAAATCTAGAATCTGGATTATGTGTTAGGAAAAAGATTGGGTTGGGTTGGGTTGGGTCTATTATATTGATTTTATAATTAAGCAAGTGGAAGACTAAAAGCTTTACGGAGTTGGCCCTTTATAATTATACTGAACTGTCTAACCATTACCAGTTCAACGAAGAAAAACTGTAACCATCACATGATGAAAGGCAAAGCTGGTGCATTATTTCTCTGTTGAATATATTACAAAGTGTCAAAGAAAAACACCTGCCTGCCTTTGAAGTCAAACAAAAGCACAAAAGCATCCCTATCCCTATCCCTATCCCTATCCCTATCCCTATCCCAGGGGAGACTGGGACCCAGTACTGTAGTGTTCACTTGCTGATGTATTATCACCGAGGGTTGGCATAATCCAATGGGCCATAAGGCTCAAACAATTCAGCAATGAATCCCTTCTTTCTCTTAGGGTTCCAACCCATGTCTTTGCACAGTTGATCATTGTGCCATATGTTCACTGCAGCAATGCACGACCTCCTGTAGTATGGACCTGAGTATCGCTTCATAAATTTATCCCATTCTGCTATATCTTTCTCCATCTCTTCGATGCTTGGTGGCTTGAATGTGCCATCCAGAAGCTCCGCTAGCCACCGGCACCTCATCTCCGATGTATACATGTTTGAAGCGCTTTCCGAGAATCCTATTACTGCTAGTTGTGGAATCCGAGTATGAATGCATTCCCTGATCAAATTGAACGTTTATTATATTCGTCAATCAGACCTCTTCTGAAACACACTAGCACATATGACATATTACAGTTATATTTCACCCTCAGCACACATATTACAATAATAGGCACAGAAAATTATATATTTCTCATACACATACTAGGATAGCCCCCTATTTTCAACCATTACAACTGACATCGACCAGCTTAAGTACAAAAGAGCACAGGGAGCAGAAATGCAACATGTTAGAACAAAAATTCCCTACACAGACAATGTCATTGACTCAAACACAGATCTATTGAATGAAGTTAGCTGTCTTGCTCAAGCTTAGAAGTTCGTTCATAAGTGAAGCACCTTCTATAGGAAATATTCCTAGCTCTAGTTGCAATTATTTATCTGTATTGTTCTAGGTTGTTAAGCTGGCCAATTTTTGATCGTTTAGAAGTCTCAATGAATATTGGCTTTATCTTGAGAACCACCCTCATATATATATGCATTCTTCATATATATATACACACACACAGAGTATGTTTTTAAATAAAGACATGATTCTAAGATTGCATACAAAAAAATTAAATTGTTGATATGTTTTGAGAGTCTCATATCGTTCACCTGTAGAACGGAACTATAGTGTCCGTCGGTTCAGCAATGTACTTCTGAAATAGGGGGGACACAAATATGTTTTTGAGCTTTTCAATACCTCTAAACCCAGTAGCCAATATGACCAGATCGGCCATTAGAGGTTCAGCCTCGCCGTCAATCAAAACCCCATCTTTGCAAAAGCTGAAACTACGGGTTTTTTTCAATTTGAGGCTTCCCTTCTCAACTCTGCAATAGAAGTCCTCTGGCACAGTTGAGAATAAGCAAGAACTCATTTCTTGTAAGAAACTATGTTTTGGCACCATATTAAACTTTCCAAGCTGAAGCTTCCATTTTATGTAACTTTCCACGAATTTTGAAAATCCCCATCTCTGTAAAATGAAAGCAATTAAAGTTAGCTTTTAAATAAAGAGAGCAGAGTTTTTATTTTTCCAATATATATTCACACACACAAACAATTCTCTAATTACCAAAGGTGCGAGAAGTGATGCCAGGAGACCGAGAAGAAACCCTTCACCAGGCTTATGAAGCAAAAGTTCTGCAAACCGATTCTCGTAAAGATATCCAAGTGGAACTCCCCAAGGAATGTAATCAGGCACGTTCCAGTGTTCAGTCCGGTATATCACTGTACATGGTCGCTGCACATCTGCAAGCCCAGCCAAAAAAAGAAGCTAAGAATAGTTGATGATGATACTAAATTGAATGAAGGCTAAACCCAAACTCGGAAATTGAAATGAATAGACGAAATCAGTGTAATTTTTCAATTTTGTGCTTCTAATAATAACCATTTGCTGTTGAGCACTCCATTGCTATGTCTAATGCTGATTTCTGGAACCCAACAACGGCAACTTTTTTCTCTTTGACAAATTCAACAGCATCTGCATAATCCATGGCCGAATAGTCCATCGAGTGGATCACCTTGCCCTGAAACGCTTCGGGACCCTTATCTGGTGGAAATTCTGGAATATTTGGAATGTCACTGAACCTTCCGACACAAAGAATCAAAAAATCGACTTGATATGCCTGTAGAATCACACCTGGGTATCAATCGTTTGATAATATATATATATACAAATGATCAGGATCATCCTATCCTATGATCAGAATATATATATATATATATATACCTCTGTTGAAAAGTTTTGACTATCCTGTACTGTAACGATCCATTTTCCTCTGGAGCCGAAGGGCTCACCGGTTCCACCCCACAACGTCCATGCTCTCATCTCTTCGTCGGAAGGCCCTTCATAGCTGATGCTGATCACTTTGGTATTGAGTCTGATGTGTCTGAGCAAGTCAAAATGATAAGCATAGGATTGAAGATAATCCAATACTTGGCGTTGAGAAGGGAACTCTTCTGTCACCGAAGGTGGCCAAGGAAAATCTGAGAACCGATACACATCTTTTGGAGTCTGAAGCTTGGTACACTCTACTGTTGTGGTCCAAACTCCGCCGATACTGTTCCGGGACTCGAAAATGATGGGATGGAAACCCTTTAACAGGGTGTATTTACAGGCGAGGAGGCCGCTGATACCAGCTCCGACGATGGCCACCTTCCTCTCCATTTATGCCGGGAAGTATATATATATTATCAAAAGCTTCTAGCTTTCGCAGACCGGCTCTCATGGTGGATATATATGCTAGCAGTGAGCTTGGGCCTTAATGTTCTATTGTCTTAGATTTCAACTTCATGTGTGATAAAAAAAAAAGAGATTTCAACTTCATGTGGTCACTTGTCATTGACCAGCTGTGCTTTTCAGTCGGTGCTTATGGCGTGGCATATCCCGAATCCAAAGGGAAATCTTGTGTTTGTTTGTGTGATTTTTACCGAAGGATAAATTTGAAACTTGATTTTTACAAGAAAGGAGGGAGGGGTAAGTAAGTATTACCATCAAGTGGAGTGTCTTCGCCTTGAAAATAGGGGTTCGAGCTTATTGGGCTTGATCGTTGGCTACTCTACTGATCTAATTAAGTCTGATTTCGAAAGGTGTTTCAAGCGCAATCAGGGGACTTTATGATCCAACCAGTGAGAGTCTCTCAGGATGGTCGTTGGGTGTTTTTCCTTATTACTATTCCTTTTTAAATCTGCTAAAAAAAAAAAAAGTCGCTTTCTTAATTGAATAGAGAATATCCATAGAGAATATCCTTGACTAGTTGTCAGCTCCTAAATTTTTAATCCAAAAAAAAATTACTTTATTTTTCATGTAGAAAACATTACACGGAATTGATAAAGAATTTTTAAGCTGACCCACAACTGATCCTTGTCAAATTAGAAAACACATATGAAGAAATGGGAAAAAATCTAAACATGATGTGATTTTTATTTTGATTTTTTTTGTGATTATAAATAATTAGTTGCTCTTTATTATCTTCAGGGAGGGTCGACTAGTCCAAAAATCGATCAAATCAAAATAATTAGACGGACTTAAATCCAATTTTTAGATATATACGGAATATGCAATATTAGAGGCAGTGGAGTAAGTAGAGGCAGCGGTGTTTCTGTGTCTCCTACCTACATACATAAACATGGAAATGGAGCAAGTAGAGGCAGTGGTGTTTCTGTGTCTCCTACCTGGGAAAGGCGGTAGAGAATGCAGCCTAAAAGTAACTATTTCTTCTAGGAAGGATTTAAAATAAAATGAATGTGTTTGTTTAAAATAAAATGGATCTGCTTGTATGAATCATGTGAAAAAAATAGTAACTTTTGAATTCTCTTCTTGATGAATGGATGGATGTCTAGGGAACAGCTGGGAAGGAGTAAGTGAAGGGTCTCCCCAATGAAAGGAAATCCCATTGAACCTGGAGGCAGAACTCCATTGCATCTGGGGTTTCTTCATCTGTGAACCCACTGATTTTTGAGTATCTACAGACTACGGTTACTCAAAATACTGGTGACTGCTGAAAATAATATAATATTATATTATGCTCCTAGTCTCGGGAGGAATAATAAGTGAAACGACGGCGTTTTACCACATTCCTCGCACCACCCCAACCCAACCCAATATGACGCTCCGCTCCCCTCCCCTCCCCTCCCCATAGGTTTTTGGAAAGTGGGGCTGGAGCGAGCTACAGACGGGCATCAGGGAATGTATACCAACAATACCAGAGTCGGAGAGGGAGAGACAAAAATGACAACGTCATCGTTCCTTGGAAACAGATACTGGGTGCTCAGACATGGCAAAAGCATTCCAAACGAGAGGGGTCTCATTGTTTCATCTATGGTATGGTCCTTCTCCTTCCTCTTCCTTTTACTTCAACTCATGAATATGGATCGTTTTTGCTTTCTTAGTTAATGTCATCATGCGAACCTGATGATTGTTTCGATTCTATTTGGAGATAGTTGTTACATAATAGACAAAAGGGAATATAGATGGCCGATATGCTGCTCAATGGGTGGATTTTTAGACATGTTTCAATTCCCGATTTATGACATTCAGCATTATATATCTTTTTCCTTCTTTCATTGTTTCTCCTAAATTTAATTAGTGTCATGTCATATCCATCACAATGGAGCCGCAAAGGGCCCAACTTTAGTAGCTTTCGCATAATGAATCAAAATTGTGAGAAGTGAATTGACAGTGTGTGTGTGTGTGTTTTTGACAGTGGAAGACGACTCAGTGTGAAAACTAATTTAGGTGTCTTATCCAAAAAATAGGTGTTTATTTTTGTTAATATTATCAACTTGGCACACTCTCCTCCGTCGTCTATTCCCTTACAGATGTAGTAGCAGTTGCGCAAAGATACACGCCTCTCCTCGCCTTGCCTCTCCTTATGATAATCATAATAAATAGATCAAGAAAGCTATATATGGAGGAGTATTTATATGCACTCACTCTTATGTCTAAGAATCTTGACATTAAATTAGCTGCTTATCCTCTCCATGTCTTCTTCCAAATGAAGTGGCAGTGTCACTCGTTGGTGTTTCGTGCAGCATAAAGATGCCTTACTTATTTTTCCCCTTGCAACTGATTGCATAAGGTGTAGTACGTTATACTACTTTTCTTTGTATAAGCCCCCAACACATGTTAGTGCGTTTGACTGACTTCATGAATTCATCAAATGTAACTGTGCAATGGACTGTCTATTCATCATTTTTCTTGCGTCATTCTCTTGGAATAATCTATGGTTATTTGTATGACATAGATAAAGTTGAACTTCACTGCATGTGCAATGATTGCACAACTGTTGATTTAGCTGTACATATTGTGATGAATCCTCTTTCTTCTTTACATATCAACTCCTACAACTTCAATGGCAGTTCCTTCTAACATGCAGATTATTATTTGGGTTTTTTTTTTGTGCAAATATCAATCGCCTTGTAGTTTATTTGATTATAAATTTTCATAAAACCTCAAATTCTAATATCAATTATTTACAAGAGGTTAGTATCTTACCAGGAAAATGGTATGCTTGATGATTACAAGTTAGCTTCTGAAGGAGTTAATCAGGCACAGTTGGCTGGAGAGCTATTCCAAAAGGTAGCTTCCTGTTTGAAATCAAGAAGTATTGTCGAGCACTACATCTTTTGATTGGCACAAATTTGATTCTGAAATGGCTGTAATTTCCATCCCAACACTCTTTCACAAACCTAACAATTTTTAAGGGTATTGTATTTGCAAAGAATATACTGCCACTTGATTGAGTAGATAGGTGTGTCTGGGGAGGGTGGTGTTGCCTTTCTATTGATGGACTTGGACAATGTCCTCCATTTTGTATGTATTTTCTTGTTTTGGATTGCTCGACTGTCATGTGATGATTCGGATTTTAAAAATACTATCATTTGGCTGATTATAATATGGTTGGGGATCTTAGGCATCCGAACCATATTACAATCAACAAAAAGCCATTTGAATGTTCTAGCACAGATTGACAATTGGTCATGTTGGTTTCAAAGCCTAGTGATTTGATTGTCTTCATCCGCAATATGAGTGTAACTACATTAGGATTGCCAGATGATATGCTCAAATGATTAGAAAAGACATCAATAATAGGTTCGATAGATGTAATATGACATTTCTTAAAAAAGTAGGACAAAAGAATACGCCAAATAACATATTAGTAGGCTCGTACATATAAATGGTTGATAAAAGATTAATATATCAAAAAATGTATATATTATGATAATGTACAACATCAATCTCGTGTTCATAAGTTTTAAGCATTAGTCAATTCCACAATGTCATAAAGAGATCACCACAACATATTCAGTGAACCAAAGATTAAAAAAAATCTAGGAGGAGGTTGTAAATCCTTTTAGCATGATGAGTAGGTTGCTGGAGGTAGTTGGCACTCATCAAAAAAGTTGCTGGAGATACCAGAACTATGGTCGCTGTCGGAGGCATCATCTCTTATTTCCTCTCTCTTTTTCTCTCTGGTTTTCTTCTTTGCTTGAATACTAAAATTGTTAGATATATCATTTTTTCATCGTCTTCTGTGTGCTAGATGTGTCTCAAGTGTGTCCTTAGTGTTGTCTGCTGGGTCTCCATGTCTCAAACTGGTGCGCAGGCCTAAGCAGTCCATGCTTCCAAGAAATCAAGCGCGGCAGTGCTGAGATTCCTGGGAAATTCAATTTAAGTATCAAGGGGAAGAGTTGAGTTAATGTATGTAGAAGATAATGGCAGAAATGTCTTTTGCATTTATTCTTTTTGCGGATATCTTGTCCTAAAAATTGTAATTTGTTTTCTTCTTCCATTCTATAATAAAATTCTTCTTTTATCTAAATAAATAAAAAAATGGCTGAAAGGAGATGAAAGGCTAGAAAACCCATGCTTATGAAACTTTGATAATTGCTCTTTTTGATCCGGCCTAAAACACACGACCGGAGGATCAAGGAAACTTTCAGCGGGGATTGAGAAGTCAACTATCGCCTGTACTGTACCACTTCACGCAATAAGTTGTTTGAAACCAACTTCTCCTCGGGAGGATATATGGGGCAATTCAAATGAGATCCAATGTAGATCCAACTTTCGATTTACTTGTGGAATTCGCGTAGTCCCTCCTGATGTTCCATTCAACTAAATTTGTTCCCGTAATCCATAGGCTAACATAATGCAGCAGCGAGGGACAACCTTCCCATACAGCCAGCAGGGAGGATGGCACTACTGGCAAAGACCGTCTGTCAAAAACCCCACACACTCATCCCTTCTTCCTTTGGTTCAGACTTCAAGGAATAAGTTCTGCAGGGTGTTACTGCACAGAAAGCATTTCATCTTCATTATGCCTGCCTGGACAGAAAGGAAGCTTAGGGAAAGTCGTTTTAGTAGCCTGAAACCTTAGAATTTTTCCAGGTTAACCGTTTTCTGAAGTACAATCCTGATTTTGAGCGGTGATTAAATGCCATTATTACTTATGGAACCCAAAAAAAGAATTGGCATGCTGACTTCATGTTTTGTATTAACTAATATGTTGGATGTGTATGTGTGTGTCTATGTACAAGTGAATTGCTCAGTTACACATGCAACAAGTTATATATGCAGGAACTGAAGGACAGAAACATACTACTTGAAAATGTCCGCATTTGTTATTCTCCATTCTCAAGAACCAGTCACACTGCTAAAGTTGTTGCATCTGTTCTAAATCTTCCATTTGACGGGCCTCAATGTAAGGTAAAGTATCTCATTTTTGGTGAGATTCACTTATTTGAAGATAGCTTAATCTGTGAAGCACTCAAATCTCGCAATAGTGCCTGTATATGCTGCTCATTGAATGATGCCCGGGCATAAACTTACTTTTAGATACTGGTGGGCATGCAGATTCTAAGTCACTATTTGATGGATTTAGTATGAGATGTTACCTCTTTTTCACATAGCCTTAGTTGATTACTCTAATCACTGAGCTGTAACAAGAATTTGAAAGACAATTAATGCAAGCAGGGAAAAAAGGAAGAGTTTATGAAAACAGAAAAACAAACAACCCCACTTAACAAAACTAGCCATTAGAGTTACTATACTCGATATATCGCTTATTTTAACAGAATAATGGTTTTCATGCATATATTTGTTGTTATAATATATTCTAGATATGGATTAGACTTATGACTGTCTCAAAGAGATTAGGAATGATATATTCATGAACTATCTCAACTGATAAACATGAATTCTTGGTTTTTTTATTTTAATGACATATTTCTGGCTCGACAGAATTCAAATCCCAGTTTTCTTGAATTTGGTGCTGGGGTTTTTTCTTCTTTTGTCTGGTGCAATGGTGGGGGGTGTGTGCATGTTCTGGGAAAGGGGGATGCGGATGCAATTGATGCTTTACCTTTCAAATTTTCTTGAGCTTCGATTTTCCATATTCCTTTGGCTTAAAGTTCAAGTAAATTTTGCTGGACAGGTCATAAAAGATCTTCGTGAGCGTTTCTTTGGGCCTTCATTTGAACTTATGTCTCATGACAAAGTAAGTAACTTTTTTGAGGAACTGGTTTTAGATTTTATTGGATGCCAAAGTGGCAGATATCAGCATTAATTCCTGATATGCATATGTTCTGGACTTATTTGATGTTGAACTTTAGGCTACTCAATAATTGATGTACATCTGTGGTTCACTTTTATTTATAGGGTGCTAATGTACTTTTCCTTAAATGTCATTTGCATTTGATTCTGAATTTGGTTTTGAATTAATCAATTTTTGGCTTCTTATATTCTCTTTCACTGACAGTATTCAGAAATATGGGCTCTGGATGAGAAGGATCCATTCACTCAGCCAGAAGGTGGAGAAAGTGTAGCAGATGTTGTTTCTAGACTTACAAGTGCTTTGGTAACAATAGAGTCAGAGTTCCAGGGGTAATGTGCCTCCCTTTATTTACTCTCTGTCCTCCCGGGTATAATTTTCAGATAAAAAATTACTAACTGAATATTTTTTATAAAGTCTATTCTTTATAAAAAATATTCACTTTATTATTTTTTGCTTGTTTCTGGACACTGTATTTCTCATTAGTGTCTCTGATTCTCCCACTTTGATTGGTATGCTTTCACGTGAAGTATGAATAAGGATTCTCATCATAATATGAGAATTCATCTGTTTGACACTTTATCTGTAAATACATACATTCAAACCCATTTCCAGGACGTAATCGTGATTAATATATTTTATAAGTGTAACTCATGTTAGAAAATATTGGAACTCTAATCTCAATAAATACCATTCCCTTGGTTATGGTTAAACATTGAATATTATGAACATTAACAACTAGTTTGGAATCTCATTCCCTGTTTCATCGAAAAGAAAAACGAATTTGGTCTGATGCTACTGTCACTTTTCGTTGTTCACTGCTCCCCCACCCCCTGTCTATTTCTACGTGCGTGCACGCGCGCGCATGCCTGCATTCATGCATGTGTGGTGTAAGTTTTCAGGTTTCTGAACAACCTGTGGCATGGAATGGGTGCCCGGGTGTGGGGAGGGAAAAATAGTAGCTTGAGAAGAAGTTTGATTCTTTGGGTTTGAAATTTTTGGGGGTTGGGGGGCGTGTGCATCAGTTTTAGATGCTGAGCAGCTAGAAGGATCTCAAGAGTAAATCACAGAGATCGACCAGAGAATCAGATGTGCTTTAATTGAAACTTGCCGGATGAGCCTTAAGAGATTTGTCACACATGAGAGCTTCTGAAAAGCACTTTAAGCTGCAAGCCTGCAGCTAATCATGGGGTCAGTAAAGCTTGGTAACTGCAGACCTCCTGAGCTTCACAAGTTTCACAACGTAATCACAAGCAGTTCTCTTTGACATGATGGTTACACGCTACATTCTGATGTTACTCTTCTGTTTGAAACAATTCCGACCTTAATTTCCATGACTTGCCAATTTTGTTTACATTTTTGTCTTATATTATGGATGTATAGACAGATGATGCTTCTGTTGCAGATGCGCAATCCTGGTCGTCAGCCATGGTGATCCCCTGCAAATCTTGCAGACAATACTCAATGCTGCTAAAACACATACAGGAGCTGGTAATAATGACTTGGCATCGAGGATACAAGCAGTCAAAGTTCCTTCTGTCCTCTCACAGCATCGGAAGTTTGCCCTGCTTACTGGAGAACTCTGGGCCGTTGTATGACTTGTAGCTTCCATCTAGTAGGCAAAAGCATTGTCTAATTACTACGAAAATTTATTGTATTTAGGAATAAGATTCTTGTGTCACCTGAGATGTTGGGACATTTGTCACAGAATTTGCAGCTGGGTCATTGTGATGACATGGAATGATTACAATGAATAATATTTTTGCACTCAATAGTGTTTCTTTACCAGGTTTTCTTCAGTTTCTCGTATCTAGAAGCTCAGTTTTGCAAGCACCCATTCCACATGAAACAATGAAAGCACAGAAACCTATTAAAGATCTCACAATATTTTTTGAGTCTCTAAAAGTCACAATATGATTGATAGCTGCACTGAGGTGTTTTTCATTGTTCCACTTGCACTCAAAAAACAGGTGGAGTTGATTCCAAGACTGCTCTGGCACAATAGAACTTCTATTATCAGGAAATTTTAGGACTGCCTTGAATTTACCATCTCCGAGATACAAGCAATTTAAATTTTCCGGTCTCCCTTTGATGTCAGCCCCAAAATGAACAGTGCACGATCCCCACATCTGAACGTGAGTTGCTTGATATGTTGTACATTCCGTATAACAAGTGTGTGGGAATCTCCAATCGCATTTGGGTCCAAAATGGAAATGGATTGCCCAGGATGAGCCAGGGTTTAGGCTCCAGAAATCTTAGTCAGCCATCCCTTCTGTTTTTTTGTTACTTCTATACTCGGCCCATATAGGATCCTGGAGATGATTATCTAGATACAAGAGTTCTACGCTATCTTTTGTATATGTTCTGTATCGAGAGTAAATCTATATCCCTGGACAATCAACCTTTAATTACTCTAGCAATGAAGCATTGATGATGGCATAGTAAGAACAAAGTTTTGAAAGAGTTTAACTTGCAAAGTTTGCTCACATAATATATCTTCTTATTGACATACGTTTGCTGGATGGTGGCACATGCGACATAATTAAAAGATCATTCTTCTTCATATTGCCGGACTTAAGTCCACGGTAATTAAAATAACATTTCAATGTAAGAAATAAAACGATGCGACAGTGGTACGAATTATACCAGAGTTTCAACCATTAGATACATATCGCAATCATTATATCATCCATCACATCAAATTCATATACCCATATCAAATGCCAAAGAATTTCTTTTGTACAGATTACAATCATAAGACAAGAAAATCCAGCTATTTCTGACTGCAAACCATGTTCTGCTCAGAAAATACAATCAGATAATTCTCTACCTACTTCCATTATACAAACATCCATTGGTCACATTGAGCTGGAATGGACAAGGTGATGTCAAATTCTACAATTGGCAGCTGGACAGTAAAAAAACCAAAAAGAAAAACAGGGTGAAACATTTCGTGCACAATGTGAATCTCATGCCACAAAAAAAACATATTTCACGGCAGCAGCAGGGTAGAGTAGTGAAAACACAAGATCAGATTGGAATCCATGAACAGCTGAGCTCAAGTATAAGATTTCCATGGCAAGTGATTAACCATCAAAAGTGTTATTTTATTATGCCTGATGATTGATTAATTGTATATTATTTGTGATTAAATGTGATAGATTCCTTGATTTTCTTTTTTAATACTTTTTCTAGTTGTTTGGTTTATTTTGCAGGTAAATTGATTGATTTAAAGTAATAATGATAAGGCAAGTAAAACAATCACTAGAAGAAGAATCGCAATTAATAATGATTGAAGAGTCAAGATTGAAATAGGAAGATTTGAAGATAAGGATTTGACACGTTTTCAATATTTTGATCATTACTTTTAATTCCAATATCCGATTGACTTGATTTATGCGGGGTTGGAAAGAAGACTCTAAGGGCTACAAAAGTGTATTTTACAAAAATTTCGTGAATCAGCCTTTAAATATGCAAAATTTAACCTCGAAGCCTAGACAAATTTTGTACCCTCGCCCCAAAGATTTTATGCACAGGAGTTAACCTTAAACGACTTCTTTTTGAAAAGGAATTCCTCATAAGCTAACGTTATATCCTCTACCTACATCTAGGATTTATTTTAGTATAAATAGAAGCTCTCATCTACTGAGAGAGAATGATTATAATTATTATTCTTTTCCCATATTTCCTTTTTTAGTTTTTGTTCTATTTCTATGACTTGCTAAAAGCCCAACTAGGGCTAAAGGAAGACCTTTCAATGAAATACGGTAATATTATTGACTAATGAGCTTAATAGTATGTGATATTTTATTAATTCAACTTTTGATTTCTTAAAAAAAAAATTTGCTTTGTAAAAATCCTTGAGTCATTGTGTCATGTACATTGTTTGCTTAAATTTTCTTGCGAGTCAAATAACTAGTTATTTCATGCTTAAGTTGATTACCATTATTTCACAAAATAATATAATTGAAAGATTACTCAGGTTCCTGAATAAACTTTTAATTATAAACAAAGATATTTTCTTAATCTTATTGCTAAATTTGGTGACTTGAATCAACTGACATTTAATTCTTGTTTAGATTTGAAAACTAAGTCTTTAATAATTGTTGTATAGATTTGAAAGAGAGTACCTAACGCTTTAGTATTTTCAATTATTGTTTTAAAACTAAATTTATTGTTTTCTAATTTCAAAATTCTCTACAATAATTTTTTCAAAACAATTTTCTTTTATTTTTCTTTGTGTTCTAAGTTTTTCTCAATTCCCTGTAGTTCGACTTCGGACTTCCGAATATTATATTACTTCGCACAACCTGTACTTAGGTAATCAATTCTAAAGTTGTAGCAGCAAGATTAAAGATGACCAATCCAAACTACCACTCCCATGTTCACTTTATCTTTTTGGGCTAGAAAACTCCCTTGGCCTAGTTTCTTATGTTAGAATGCCAATTTGATTAGAAAGATCAACAAATTGCTAGTTGCCATTATCTGATGTATCCAGGTTGAGCTCATGCACCTAAAAGCCTTAACCTTGGTTCGACAGGGAAACTTATGGCGCATTATAAACAAATATTTGGTGGGTCAGACTCAGAATAAATAACTGAAAGAGTGATTTTAGCTGCTGCTTGCTTTTATGGAATTGGTTCAAATATGTTAGCTGAGTGCATGGCATTGCTTGATGGTTTAGCATGGTTTGTCAGCATCTCAAATTATGGTGGAATCTGATTCTCAAACATTAGTTCAAATGGTGATGGGCTTAGCTGCTGTTCCATGGAAATTGCAATACTTGTTAGAAAGGATTAAATTGTTGTTTGGCATGTTGGATCTACAAATTAAACACATCTATTGGGAAGCTAATGGACTGGCTGATTTTTTAGCTTCCTTTGCTGTTCAAACAGAAAGGTGTACTGAATTTTCTGGAAGGTAATGTTCTTCCAATTACTGGGAGGGTTATAATGCAGCAAGATCAGAATGAATTACCTACTGTCAGATTGAAGAGATTGAGTTGTGGACAAAGACAAGGTATTGGTTGATTTGTTTTCTGCTTCAAGTAAAGACTGCTTAGGGCAGTTGGACAGTTGGAGTATGCCTAGCATCTGGGCATTCAGAGGGGTTGTTTCTGATTTCTCAAGAGCAGTGCACTTATGAAAGCAGTATCTGGACTGCTCGTTCTCAAGAGCAGTTTTGCTTCTGGTTCCAGTTGTCACAGGCTGTTTGGATTCTGATTAGGGGTGGTCTGTGGATCTGTTGCTCTCAGCTGAAGCATTAATAAGCCAAAAGAACGTGGTGGATTCTCTCAGCTGAGCTGGGAGTCTCTCAGCTGTTTTGCTATGGACTTGTGTGGTTCAGCTGGAAGAAAGAAGCTGTACAGAGGGAATACGGATAGAATTACTTTTTTACCCTTGTATAGTTTTTTTTGATAAATGTTCCACAGTCATTGTTTTTATCTTAAAAACAGTGACTGTTTTGCTTCTTGTAATTTTTGCATTTAATAAATAAAATTTTTATTTTTCCAAAAAAAAAAAAAAATAGACCGGCATTTCTTTCCATTTCCTTGAAGAGCTCAAACTGGTCCAGAAAAACTTTTTTTTCATGATGCATAAAATAAACCAAGTGCGAGCATGTAGTGACACAAAAAACTGTCCCCCCACCACACCCTCCCTGCCCTTGCCACCCCAAAAAGAAAATAACAAAAAAAAAGTAAAAAAAAAAACTCCCGAAGTAAAAGAGGACACAGCCAAGTTAGTATACTCACTGCAGTAAATAAATTGATTGATGTCGAGAGTAACCCTGCCTTGCTTGCTTGTGTCAAAAGAATTAAACAAATTCCTACAAAATAAAAGATGAGAATGTAACCAATTGATACCATGTTAAACTATCATGTATTCCAAAAAACTTAAGCTACTAAAGAATGGAAGTTGATAAAGTCAAATAATCTACAGCACAAGTAGGGGAAGTCCTTGACAACCAAAGTCCAGACTCACAAGAAAAAAAATCATAAAACATGCTACATTGCAAAGTCAGTGGTTTTCATCTTGGATCAGACAAAATAAATGAAATGAGTGAGCATGCACGTGGTGCTTAATTGTTCAAGAATTACCTGGTTAAAATTAACCAGGGCATGCTAATGGGATCCATGAGCTGTGACCAAACAGCATATTAATGTTGCCATGGGTTGGGTAAAGGATGCAGCATGAGGCATGCAGTTTAAGGAGTGCTAATTTTCTCACCTAGCAGACTGCACAAATATACACAGAGATATGAAATCATCAAGGCGGAATCGTCCATTCTTCTTCTGATCAAAACTCTGCATAATTGTTTCAAACAAACAAAAGAGAAAAGAAAAGAAAATCATTTCACATATCATTGGTCGACATTTTGTATATGCATCACTAATAATACTATCAATATACAAGAAAATAATGAAACTTGAATTGGTATAGCATACTTCGCCACCTATTCAAATGTAGAACTTGGAAAAGGAGATGAATTATGTATCAGGAATTTTAGATAAAAGTGAGATAAAGAACAGTTAATCAAACGCATAAATACTGCAATGTAGAGAGCAAGTGAACCTAAGAAGCAGTGGGCTAGCTAATCTCCTTGAATCATTTCATGTCTAAGGAACACCATATATACAAAAGGCTTTGACCAATGATAATTCATGGTATTAAACAAAGTAAAATATGTCATTCACAACATAAATTATGGAATCCGCTCCTTTGAACCTGGAGCACGTGCCTCATTGTTTTTTGCATACTGACCTTCAACTATGTACCCTTTTTTCAAGCGGGATTACATATGAACCTTAAAATTTCTTTATGCATGTCCTAGGTACAAATTGTCTTGTTTTGAGCAACTAAAAAGTACAAATTCTCCAAATTCACATAAATGGCCAAAAACCTCTATCAAGTACATCAGCCTTTTGATTTCCTAACTCCACTAAAGAGTGAAATATTATGGCAACCTGTTTCACACCAATAATTCGTGTGCTACTACTAAGATTGAGGTTCATGCTTACCTCACAGACTGTGTAAAATGCCGGGGAGTCAAGGGAGAATCCAACTTTCACCAATGCCTGTATTCATGATGAGACAATTAGACATGGGAATGGGAAAAGGAAAAACTATTAAGAGAGAGAAAACGGAGACATAGACTGTCCATTTAAGGAATGTGAACAAGAGAGAGTAAACTGACAAACACTCCACTTCAGTTACAGAAGGTAAGAAAAACATTCACGCACATGCACATATGCAACACATAACAAAGGAGCAGAAGCAGCTAAATGTACTCAACAAGATGAAATCTAAGCCATCGTACCACTATTAAATGTAAACACCTCATTTATTCTTCCAAACAATCAAAGATATAATTAATATTGATCAAGGCCAAATATCATCATTTTGGGTTAAGAAGACAGAAGGGGTTCTTACCTTGTAAACATCATCAGGCACAAGAAACCCACAACCCCTGTCAGGATGAACAGCAATAACAAGATGGTATTAGATGTATCCATAGCAATTTCATACCAATATTTGAAACCAACAATACAACATGAATATCATGAGTGACTGAACCAAAAATTTTTAGGAGACCATTAGTATATTGTTTCACATAATAGCAAAAATATGCCTTAAACAATCTGAAGGATGTAATTTAATCCGAAACAGTTCTGCCCGGACTAATAAACCCACGGCAGAGAAAGTTATTATCGTCAATGTAGAACCTTCACTTGCTTCTACAACTTCTTCATCTTCGTCCGTCGTCACCACTTCCCTCACAATTTGTTTCACCATCTTCTTCACAGTCTTAACTTTTTTTTACTCGAAGGACATTGAAACACATCAGTTGTTAAACAGTATAGGTGATACACATGAAATGTTATATGAAAGAAGAAGTTTAGTATGATGAGCAATTCAAGTCAGGTTGCGACGCCATAGAACGATACCAGCTGATTTGATGATGATGATTTGGACGATTGGGGTTGACTCGAAGACGTCTCAAAAGACTAGCGGAGATGTGTGAGACTCTTGATTTACACAAAACGTGGAAAGTAATCAAATTAGAACGTGCCGAATCGGAACACAACAGAATCGCATAGATATCAGTCGATACTTTGAATCGTGCCTTCTTCACTTTCTTCCTTACATTCTTCATCTTAATCATCACTTCCTTCACCTTCTTCTCCACATTCTCAACCTTCTTCTTCAACTTCTTCACCAATCACTCTTACCACACTAAATCACATATACTCCACTGAAATCACCCTAGATTTATATTTTGCCAAAATAGGCATGCAACTTTTTTGGAGAAGTACACCTTCCGAAGTTCGCAAGAGTAGTTATAAGGTAAAAGCAAAGGAATGAAAAATTAAAACAACAACATCAAGTTATATACACCACAGGATGAATATATCCAGCATCATTTCAGAAAACATTAAACCGCATAAATTTGGGAATTAAACGGTAAGTCACCTCTCCAGGTCTGAGAAGGCATGTTGAACCTGCAAAAAAAAAATTTGAAAAAATAAAGAAAAATAAGCAGACACAAATCAAACTGAAGCCGAATGGATGAGACTTTTTACACGATCTTGTCCAATAGACCACAAAAAGAGAAGGAAGAACTTTCCACTCATAATAAGATGATAAAATAGAAATGTAGTGTAGGGAAATAAGCACAATAATCAAGGGGATGGTTCTTTTACATTGGCTCTTGCAAATATTCTTCTTCTTTTTTTTTTAGTAATTGCGTGTGAAATCCAAATTGAAATATGGAATAATTCCAACACCAATATCCCAGATGAAAAAATCATTAAAAAAGAAAAACCTTTTTTATTCCTGAACAAAATGAATGACATCATAGCCCAATAGAACATTTTAAGTCTATAAGTCATTGCTGACACAAGATATAACATGCTACGCAAGTCATAAACAGTAAACTTCTAGGCTTGTGCATAGGAAAAAAATGCAACATCAATTAAGTTCAACCTTATTAGAAACATAAATGCAACACAAAATATTTAGGAGATGCTGACCTTAGTTAGAAACTTGTTAAGTGCAACGAATTCTGAAGAAGAAAACACAAAAGGAAAATTGAACATTTAGCGGACTACAAGTCAGAGACTTGGATCACAGGGGAAAAAAAATTAAAGAATAGTAGTACAATCTTCCGTTACGCCAATAGTATCAATGAAGCTCAATTGCACGCATAATTTTCCAAATTGTTACCTTCGAAACTCATAGTTCCGTTCCTATCAAAGTCGTACATCCTACAAAACATCATCCAAAAGCAATAAATTGATGATACCTATATATATAGCGTGTATAAATACATTCCTATCAAAATCGTGCAGTCTGATCGTTTTGCTGGACAACAGAGAGAGAGAGAGAGACCTGATCATTTGCTCGACAACAGAGAGAGAGAATTCTAGGTTTCCGACAGCAAGAGCAGTCTGATCGTTGTTCGTCGTCGATTTATAGAAGAAAAAATAGAGAGTAAATATGGCTGGATAGTGGAAGAGGCTAAGAGAAGACGATGATCAATTGGTACTTGCGAGGGTTTTGTGAAGGAATACGAACCTTTAGCTGAGTGGTTGTGATGTTTCCAGTTTTCTCCGAGTCAACTCGCTCGAACCACTCCCTCAGAATTGCCATGTTCTCCATTTTCAGCGTCCTGCTGCTGTCTGTGTCTGCCCGGCTCCTCTTCTCCACAGACGAATTTTTTAAGCACCAACTATTTCCACAAATATTAGCTAAACGATGTCGTTTTTACATTCACCCTACCCAAATTAGGTGTCACACCCCAACTCCGAGGCATGACCGTTCGTGAACCATAGATCCATAACCTATGGAACACATAAGCCTAATAATAAAGTAATAATATAGGAGTGAAAAACAACATTAACACTAAATTAATCTCATGTCAATATATAAACGTCAACATACCTAAACCCGTTTGTCCCAATTATCCAACAAGTAAAGATGGTTGTACGATATATGCTACGGAGGTCACAACACTATTAGTCCACAATCAATTCCTCGAGTCTACTATTGACACTCCAATCGTTTTCCTGAAAAATACTATTTTAGAAAATATGAGCTAAAAAGCCCTGTGAAAAAAAAGACATGCATATTCAAAGTGGTTAAAAAATAATTTTGGCATACGATATGTAAATCAAAGATTTGGAAAAATAATTTCATCAAGATAACTAATTTATCAAGAATAACACAATTGAGTTTCAACAAGAAATCATACTACAACGCTGAATCATATCATAATGGTGGAGACTGTACGATATCTAATAATCGATGGAACCAAATATCAAATACAATAATTGATAACAAGAAAATACGTATGACATACGATAGATATCATAAACAAAGCCAGTAAAAACGTTGTGACAATAACAAATTATATCATCATCTCATACTGCTAAGGACTTGTACGATATATCTGGGAACCATACCAAATGCTAGAAGATCTCAAGGTTAGATCCAACATTGTACTTATAGGTTATGCACTATTTTGGTTTCTCTCCTAGTAAATCCATACATACATCCACCGAAGCAAAGAACAGTCAAATCAATATCCAAATTCAAAACTAACAGGATAGTAAAAAAAAATTGAGCTTTCACAGCAAATATTTAATAGTGAACAACCAAATATTAAATTTGAGAAATAGAACTCATGGGACTTTGTTTATGCCAGTGGAGCCAATGTGGGGAGAGAGAGACATATAGGTTAGGAGATTACCCGTCGCTAGGTAGGGACTTTTTTTGTGCCAGTGGAGCCTCTATGGGGAGAAAGAGATAGAAAGATTCGGAGATTACCCGTCGTTGGGTGTTTTGCTGCTTATCACCAGCTGCTTCGTCAAAGAGACAGAGGCGCATGATATGAGTGACAGGAAGAAAGAGAGAGATTAACTGACAAAGGAGGCGGGTGAGAGAAAGTTAGGGAGAGAGAGATAGAGAGGGAGGGAGATATTTGGGAAAAGGATAGAGGAATTGGTGTGAAAGAAAGATATCTGGGAGAAGATTTTAGATTGAGATGGATTCCATGAGAGATTTTAGGGATGAGTTTAAAAGGCAGGGATAGAGGCGTGAGAGATTGGGAGAGACACAGAAGTGAGAGAGAGAGGCGTGAGAGAGAGAGACGTGTGAGACAGAGGCCTGAACTTGGGTGAAAAAGAAAAATATAGTACTCATTGTTGACCGTTAGATTATAATTTTTGAGATGATTTGAACTGTATTTTATGTTGAAATTACGTTGTCCGTTGGATGTGTTTATATTTTGTCTCAAAACAATCTGGACCTCTCTTTGTCTTTTGAATTCAAACTTCGTTCTATTTTATTATATATATATATATATATATATATATATATTTAATTTAGGATTTTATTGAATTTTTATATGATTTAAATGAGTAATTATACTTTGTTTTAATTAGACATTTGAATGTCTTTATGTGGTGAGAGTTACGAGATGCTGGACTTTAAAAGCCTCTAATAGCTAGCATTCTCAAGCATATATAAAAAGAGCTCATGTGATCTAATACGAGTATGTTTTTTGTAGTATGTATTCTTTTTTCATATATATTGTAGATGTATCTTTTGATTATATTTTTGGGCAACTTCGATTAGAGTCAGATTCACCCTTTCCTTCTAGTAGGCATGACTATTGAGGAGGTGCTGTTGCGAGCGTCTAGATTTGATCTTGAAGTCGCTGATGTCTGTTAATACCCTCACATGAGGAGGCTCAGCTGTTTTAGAACAGTGTTCACACGACTCTCAGACTAGTTATTTCTAATTTATAGTATCTATTTTATTTTATTCTAAATTAATTGTTATTTTATATTTATTTGCATATTCTTGTTAGTTTGTGATCTGGATATTATTTTGTTAAGTAAAATTATGTATAATTATACTATTTTCTCCAACAATTTGTACCTAGAGAAATGTTGACGTGGGTTAGTAATGATGAGGGTTTGCCGATAAGGTCGATAGATTTTTTAGGAAAAAAATTTCTTATTAGTCCACATGAACGACAAGATTACCGTGTCAGTAATTGTCATCATCTCGTTATATGGTGGCTAGGTGTTACGTATTTAATAGGCTTGGGATGACTTGCATTTGGTTGGGGTCAGCTATCAAATGATAATATTGTTCAGAGTCAACTTTCAAATAATAAACGTTGTTTGGGGGTCAGCTATTAAATGATGGTGTACTTCAGAGCGTCTCTCGATTAGTCCACGTGTACAAAGGTCTTGTCCTTGTGTCAGCTTTTCATGGAGTTTTACGTTGTATCCCACGTTGTGAAAACGGTGAAGCGAATATCCCTAATCACCCGTTAGACTAGGTGACTTATGTTAGGGGGTCTAACAAGAATAGGGGTAAATGGTGATATCACTAGAATCGAGATACCATCCAACTCCCAAGTAGTCCTAAACCCTCAACTAGCCAGTCCCTTTTTTGGGATTAGGTTGTTTTGGGGAATGACATTCATTGAGTCGGTCCCATTCAATCCCTTTTTTGGGCTTAGGCAGCTATTGCTGATTGGCACGCCGAAAAATATCCTGTCATTTTCAATTTTATGACGTTTGAAGTTATTTTCTATTTTTCCTTGCAAAATAATCAATCTTAGTTACAAAAATGGTTGTTTACCATCTTCTTCTTTGCTTGATTTTGTCTTTTAAATTTGTGTACATGGTGCTAGACTTTCCACTGCAGTCCACAAATTGTTGGGGTTGTGAGAATAATTGAAAACATTTGGGGGGAGTTAAAAGGAACTAAGATAATTACTTTAAAAAATAACTTGAATAAATAGTCTTCTGCATATAAAAAATTGATTTTTGGGATCATCACAAGCATGATTCGATTTAGGTATAAAAAATATCCACCAATCTATCTAATAAATGAAGCAATTTGCATGCAAGTAATTTTGAGAAAATTTTCATTTACATAATTCTCTTAATTTTGATTTACTAGTTATTGATAGTACTTGAAGGCACAAAGTAATAAAAAAAATGGTGAACAATGAACATATTTGTATTTACATCTAAAATCAAATCTCAAATATAGAGGAGAAAGAAAGAAATTTAAGCACCAGTTCTAGTTGGGGTGAACGGTGATAGTAATGGTGGGCAATAGTGGTGGTAGTGGGGAGACAATGATGGTTGTGGTAGGTGGCGAAGACCGTGGTGATGATGACAATCGTGGATGACAACGATGATGGTGGTTGTGGGTTTTGGGTGATGATGGTAGTAGTGGCAGCCATGGGTGACAGTAGGTGTAGGTGTTGGTGGTGGTGGGCGACGGTGATGGTGGTGATGAGGTGACAACGGGGTGTTTTTGGGCAATAGTGTGATGAGTAGTGACGAATAGCAGTGGTAATGATGGTGGTAGGTGATAGTGGTGGGCGATAACGAGTGGTGGTAGGGCGACGACGGTGGTGGTGGCAAGTGTTGTGGTGGTGGTGGGACGATGGTGGTGGTGGGCGACAGTGTGATGGGTGGTGGCGAATGGTGGTGATCATAGGTGTGGTGGAGTGGATAATAGTGGGTGGTGACAGTGGTGGGTGATGACAGGTGGTGATGGTTAGTAATGGTAAGGGTGAGTGACAATGGTTGACAACGATGGTGGGCGAGGTGGGTTGTGATAGTGAGTGATGATGGTCAACAATGGTGGTGGTGAGTGTTGACTGTAGGGGACAATATGATGATGGTGGTAGTGATAATAAATATAAGAATGAGATGACGATGATAATGGGTGGTGGCGGTGGCCGATGGTGGTAATAATCAGTGGTGGGTGGCGATGAGGATGGGGGGTGACGGTGGTGGTGGGGTAGTGGTAGGGTGGCGGCGTTGGGGTGGCAGTAGTGGTGATGGTTGTGGGGGTGTGGTGGTGAGGCGGTGAGAATGGTGGTGGTAAGAGTGATGGTGTGACAGTGACGGTGGTGGTAGAGTGGTGGCAACAATGGTGGGGTAGCTATGGTGGAGGTGGTGGTGGTAGTGGTGATGATGGTGGGGCGATGGGGAGGGGAGGGGTGGTGGTGGTGGGGCGATTTCAAATACTATTTTATTTTTAAGTATTTACGAGAAATTATAAGTTTTAGAAACACTTTTAAAAGGTCTCCCCAAACACCCTTAATAGCTTATTTTTTCTATTAAATTTGAGGTGTTAATATCAACCATTAGATTAACTTAAAAATAAAATTTAAAGAGATCTTAATCGCGAAAAATAAAAGGTATTTTATTTATCTTTTGAAATTTGAATTGTATTATACTTTATTATATAGATTAACTTATAAAAAAATTGGTTAATTGCATTGAAGGTCCCAAAAATATAGGATTTATCTCATTTTGATCATCAATATTTTATAATTATATTATTTTGGTAATTAAAATATTGAATATGTTTTATGTTGTTTCTCAAACAGACAACAACTAAATTATTAATAGTTTTTTATCAAAAATTTGTCACGTGATATTTTAATATGAATAAAAAATAATTTGATTAGCTCTTGGCCGAAATAAAAAAAAAAATAATCAAAATGTACGTAAATTGCTTGAAAACCCTGTCCTTTGAAGAAAAAAAAAAAAACTTCCCTATTTTCTTTATTTTTAACGGTTTTTGTTTCTAATTTCAATTATTCTATTTTCTCAGTCTCAATTTGGTTTATTAATACTTCTCATTCAACACATAACGGATACGGGGTATCTCGTACTTATGTAAACGCATATCTTTGACGAAAGGAATCGTGATTATTCGTAGCTCTAGGGTTTTGAGTTTTGTATATTGGTCGATCTTAGTCGTCAGTATTGATCTTTGATAATGGGTGCCGAGGGCGAGTCAATCGTATCTGGCGGGAGCATCGGTGGTGTCGAAGAAGTCACTGTCAACATTCGATGCTCCAACGGCTCCAAGTTCTCCGTACGGACGATCCTCAGTTCAATGGTTGGGGCGTTTAAGGCTCTTCTGGCTCAGAACTGCGACGTCCCAGCTGAACAGCAGAGGTTGATTTACAAAGGCCGGATCTTGAAGGACGACCAAACCCTTGATAGCTACGGTAAGTAAATTTTTTTTTTTGTTTTCATTGTATTTTTCTCCTTTTTTTCCTTGTTTTTGATTTCTGTTAATTTTGATATGAATTTTTATGCTTTTATTGCGGAATCTTGTATTTCAGTGGATTTTTTTTTGTCAGATTGATTGATAAAGTTAGGAATCTTATTATTTAGGTGTAAAGCATACACAATCAGAGTTGGGGAATTTTAAAACCAGTTTTCAGTTTTTCTCGAATGTGAATTGATTACTGTAGCTGATCACTGTAACATAAGTAATTATGTTAACAAGCTCTCTACAGTTGAATGCTCAGTCTTTTAGTTTGCAGCCTCAGTGAAAGAGAATTGCTGAAGTTGGGAAGATATTGAAATGTTGAAAGTTGAAGCTCAGCATATTTTGGCTCCTTATAGGAGTTAAGAGAAGCCTTCCTGGTTTATTGAACTCGGAACCCTTCAGCGGGTCAATAATTAATCTGCAAAGTGTGGTTCTTAATGAATTTCTTGAAATAATATGCTTTTTAAGCTGGATCCTTAATTGGGGATTTATGGATTTGGATCCCCTTGAGCACAATTTTCCTCAATAGTAGATTGCTCACTATGCATTCAATTGAGTTGAGACCCACAATACAAGTGGGTTTCTCACCAATATATGGTGGATGTTCTAAGATTAAAAAAATTTGAGAGAATGTATATGGGAAGATATCCATATCTGAGGTGTACAAGCCCGTAAGCTTGATTGGTTGCCAGCATGTCTGGTCATACCCAAGGTTAAGATCCTGTCTACTAAGACACTTTTTGGATCTTTTGAGTCCATTCTTTGTAGGTTTTTGGTATTTTATTGTAGATTTTTTACATTTGGGCCTTATTTTTAACTCAAATTTGTCAGATTTCAGGACTAATACATGTTTTTACTGATATTTGTATGCAATGTGTACTGATACCTGATGTTGATGATAATGAATGTGGCCAATTATATAATGGAATAAGGGGGTTTGTCTCTCTGGGGAGTCGTCACCTCCTTATACTGAAAAATTTTCTGTATTTGTCGTGGTGTTCTGATATGCTTCAAGGGGAATAGCCTTTTTGGAAACGATTTGCTTGTCTTAGGTAAGGCTCTTATCCTTTCATTTGATTTTCACAGTATTCTTCAACAATCTACCTGTTTGTATAGCATATTAATTTAATTTACTGTATCGGGATGGATTTCAAATTGCCACTTGATTATGTCAGATATGACTTTCATTTGGCCATATTTAATCTCAAGCAGGAGTCTTGTGCTTTCTTTCCAACAGTTATTTGTTTCACTCAGCTTCCTGTCTACCCCACAAAAATAAATTTCGAAGTCAAACTGAATTCCTGTGTAAATGCTGACAATATTTTTTGTTTAATTGCAAATAACAAGATTTCCCTTTACACCTTGTACTGCTTATATTTTTGAAAGATGTCAATATTCCACGGAAAGTTTCTCTTGTTCTCTTTTGCTTGGAATTTTCAGCATATAACTAACTAGTATGCCATGATCTGTCATAATTATGTTGCATCAGTACTTGATTGATGGGTTTAAATTTGTAAACTTGTTAAAATTGCTTTTCTTACCGTAAATGTGTCACTGTGCGTTATTGTGGGATATATCTATCTAGCATCTAATTATGCATGGATAGTCACAGTCACACACACCTTTATCATTCTGAAGGGCAAATTCCCTCTTTACATGAAATATTTGAACCCTAAAAAATGAGAGTTAGGTTTTATATGTTATTTTCGGTTGGCCAAAAGCATTTGATGATCATTGATTGATACATTGAAGAATCGATATATGCAGTTCATATTGTGATTCAGGCATTGCATTGTTTTCTTAACAGCATTGCTTTTATGTTAACTTGTTTTCTATTATTGTTTTCTTAGCATTACAAGTCATGATCTAAGCATATTATTGTTTTTTGGGGCTGTCAGGCAAATTATTGATATTGTTTCTGTCTTTGTAATATGCTTAGATCATTTTCTCTTTCTCTCTTTTCTTCTTGTTTGAAGTTGACATTTCATTCTTCATTCTTTTCTACAACTGAAGGTCTGCAGGCGAATCACACCATTCACATGGTGCGTGGTTCTGCCCCAGCTGGATCGTCACCTGCTGCCGCAACTACCAATACTGGAAATCCTACTATCACACCAAGTGTGGCTCTGGGTGGTGGTTCAAATGAAGGAGGGGGCTTTGGGGGCAATGGTCTTGGGGCATCTCTGTATCCTGGGCTTGGTTTTGGTGCACTTGGTGGCACTGGAGCATCTGGTTTACTTGGAGCTGGACTTCCAGAATTTGAACAAGTGCAGCAGCAGCTCACTCAGAACCCCAACATGATGAGAGAAATAATGAACATGCCGGCTATTCAAAACCTTATGAATAACCCTGATTTAATGCGCAGCATGATGATGAACAATCCTCAAATGCGTGAGATCATTGACCGAAACCCTGAGCTCGCTCATATTCTTAATGATCCAGGTATTCTTCGACAGACATTAGAAGCTGCTAGGAATCCTGAGCTAATGCGTGAGATGATGCGGAACACTGACAGAGCAATGAGTAACATTGAATCTTCGCCTGAGGGATTTAACATGCTCAGACGCATGTATGAAAATGTTCAGGAACCCTTTCTGAATGCCACAACAATGGGCGGAGGTATCGGAAATGATGTGGGATCAAACCCCTTTGCAGCTCTTCTGGGGAACCACGTTGGTGGTGCCCAAACCACAGATGGATCTAACAGCCCTTCAACTACTGGGTCTGAAACAACTACCGCAGCTACTGCTCCAAATGCTAATCCACTTCCAAATCCTTGGAGTGGTACCGGTGGTGAGCTTCATTACTATGTATACTTATGAAGGAAATTTAATTCATTCATTGATTTGTTTGGCAAAAATGTTCTTAATGTCTTTTGACAAATAAAGGAAGGTCATCATTCATGAGCAATGCAAAGTCAATCACTGTCAGCATTGGAGAGATTGGAACGGGGACAGTTTTGATGAAGGCAATTTAATTCTTTCATATATTTGTTGGTTAATATGTTCTGAAATGTGAATGTCTTTTTACCTAGCAGCTCTATCATAAAAAAGAACAATCAAACTTACAAACATTGTGTTAATCTGGAGAAAATGTATCTTTACAATTATAAAGCGATGTTCTTGTGCATGAGCAATGCAAAGTCAATCGCTGACGCACACCTTATATATCATCAGTGTTAGCGTTGGAGATACTTGAACTTATAAGTTTTTGTCAGACTAAATTCATCCAGAAAATTGCCTGTTTTTGTCAGAAGAGATTCATCCACAATGTTGCCGATCATGACTACTTAGGGCTCCTCACCTACTCTAATATAGCCATCTCGGGGGGTGCACACTCTTGCTTGCATGTGTTTCCACTGTGACTGATTGAAGCCACCTTACTTATCGTGCAGATATTGGTCTCTTCATAGCCTTGTCTGAAATTTTTGAACACATTCTTGTGACTTCCAGTATGATTTGTCATTCTTAAGACTGCAAAGAGCAAGTAATTATGTGCAAAAAGTTCCTTTTCATCGTTTGACCACAATTGGACATGATAGCACCTCAAAAGTGGAATAGTTCTCTGATTTTCCTGAATCCGTTTGCTAGTATTTTACCAAAACAAAAAAATTAATTTCCTAGCAGAAATGCCTTTATAATTTTGCATTCTGCTGATTTCAATACAAATATTATTTGAAACTTCTACCAATGATTGTTACCAGCTTATATAATATTGTGAATGGCTAGGAGGTTCCCAAGCGAACACTACTACAAGGTCAAATCCTACTGGGGATGCAGGAGCACCAGGTATTGGTGGGTTAGCTGGGCTTGCTCTCCCAGAGTTGGGAAACACTTTCGGCATGCTGGATCCTTCTGTAATGAGTCAAATCTTGCAGAATCCAGCTATTTCTCAGATGATGCAAAGTCTGTTTTCCAACCCCCAATATATGAATCAGGTACTATTAAACCTACGTTAGCTTACGAGACTGTTTCATGCTTGAAAGAAAACCATTAAGATTCTTATTAAATAATATACCTTGAGTTGTAGATTCTCGGTTCCAATCCACAACTCCGCAGTATGCTAGATTTGAACCCGCAGTTAAGAGAAATGATGCAAAACCCAGAAATTCTTCGTCAGCTAACGTCACCGGAGACAATGCAGGTATGTTACTGTAATCAGTTGTCTCTCCCTCTCACTCTACTCCACTCCTCTCTCTCCCCTTCCTTTTCTCTTGCTCTCTGCATGTATTAATATATATCTGTACAAATACAAGGGTAAACTTCGGAATTTTTTCATAGTTTTGCCAGTGGATGCCTGTTGCCATTTTAAGGGTGCTCATTGGAATCGATAATCTTTCGGCTTTTTAGTATTCCATGGTTGGCCTTTTGAACTGTGCAAAATTGTTTGCACATGTTCCCTCTCCCAACCCCTGTATGTGAATAATGAATATGTAATGAGCACAGAGGGAACCATTCTTTCCTTTTTATGAAGTAATACTGATGTATTGTGGTGGTATGTGTGACCCCGATTTGCTGTTATCATTTCACAGCAAATGATGGCTTTACAGCAGCCACTCGCTCAGCTGAACCGGCAGCAGTCAACCGGGTAAGTGAAAATCAGCTCTCTCTTAACTTGTGTTGGTGGCTGAAACCTAAGTTAAGACTCTTTTTGTTTGTTTTAGGTTTTGTTGGGTCCCATGTTCTCTTTTAGTGTGGTTTAGTTGACAAATTATTGAAATCATATTACAAATATGATTCCTAGTATTTACATATTGCACACAACAAATTCCTCATTTCGATTTTGCTGTGTGATTTGTAATATAACATACAGCCTGTGCCTCGTTTGGATGAAGCCTGTGCCTTGCATAACACATGACACCTAGGCCCCAGGAGACATTGATGCCTTTTATGTTGTATTTGTCTGTCATATTTGCAGTGTAATTTATATTTTTGAATATTATACACAACACGCGCCTTGTTTGGATGAAACTCACGTCTTGCCTTACACATCTCAGCCGCAGTTACTGGGATTGTAGATGTTGTAAGTGTCCCATGAATCAGGGTCGTATTATACACAACACGCGCCTTGTTTCGATGAAACTCACGTCTTGCCTTGCACATCTCAGCCACAGTTACTGGGATTGTAGATGTCGTAAGTGTCCCATGAATCAGGGTCGTATGATCCGAAACTGGTGGATTGCCCAAATTTCCGACCCCAAACTTTATCTCAAACCCCAGAACGACTCATGTTCCAATTAATCTCAAATTATAATTCTAACCCAAATTTGAACCTAACAGGTTGTTTCTTTAAGGGTTAATTGCAAAATACCTCCCTATACTTTGAGGTGCTGGCAAAGTACCACCACCATTACTTTAAACGGTTGCACTAAACCCCCCTGAACTTGTGATCAAACTGCAAAAGTGGATGTTTGTCATAAATCCTATAAAAATACTAAAATACCCTTATTATTTCATTCAAATTTGTTTTGAAATGCCCTCTCCTAACCTAAACCCACCCTCTCCCTCTCTCCTCTGGGTATTACTTTCTCTCTCCATGCCCTCTCCTTTCAGCCCAACCCTCAGACCCATTCACCTCCGTTACCCAAGTCTCATTTCCTTCCTCTGTCTACCTCCAAGAACTCTCTCTCTTTCTCTCTCTTCTCTTTGATTCGAGAGCCAAGACAGCATCACACATGACCGAAATACAGCTTCACAACCTGCAATCACCACCCAAAAAACTCCAAAACTATAGGCTAGTTTTAGCAATAAATTTTTGAGGCGAAATTACCGTTGAATTCTCTTTAGTGGTAAATCAGAGGCAAAATCAACAACATAATTTGGGTCAGTTCATTTGTGGGTGTGCACACTCGAGGTGGAGGAGCAGTGGACTTGGGTGGGAGATTGTAGTGGGGGGCGCACTGTCATAAGGAATTGTGATGGGGATGGGCTGAGGTGGGGCAGTTGCTGTGGAATGGGCTGGGGATGGGGGTGTTGCAGATGGTGGGTTTTGGTGGGGGAGGGAAGGAGTTTGCAAAGGCAGAGAGAGAGAGAGAGAGACAGAGGGACAGAGAGAGTTGGGGAGCTTTAAGGAGGGAAAGGGTGTTGCAACAGAGGAGTTTTGGGTGGTTGAGTGGTAGGGAGAAGGGTGAGGGAAATGAATGGTTGGCTGACGTGGGGGAGGCTGGGGTTTGAGAGAGAGAGAGAGATGAGAGAGATAGAGAGAGAAATTGATTTGGTGGGAAGAGAGAAAAATGAGAGAAGAGAGGGTATTTTAGGAATTATTATGAGTTAAAAATTTGAAAGACTTAGTCTTCACGCACTATTTTGGGTGCGTGAGTTACACTTTCCGATAAATTAGTAACGCCGTCCATTTTTGTACTTTGTTTTCAAGGTTAGGGGGGTTTAATATAAAAGTTTCAAGTAGAAGGGGGGGTACTTTATCAGTGCCTCAAAGTACAGGGGGTAATTTGTAATTAACCCTTTCTTTAATTTGGTAATCTTTAAAAATTTATTGTGATTTGAATTTTTTTCATAAGCTTCTATTGGAAATATAAGATAAATATTAGTTAACAATCATATGCATAAGTATATATAATTTCATATATGGTGAAAACAATCCGGATGACAGTTACAAATCGAACCACGACCTAAAGTAGAATACCAAGTAACTCCACCCACATCGCACCGTGCGTTGGGAAAAGTGTGTTACCGCATGCAAACCAGGTATCATATTGACTCATGATATAGGTAAACATTAATCGCACCTAAGCCACAGGAGACATTGGTGCCTTAGTGCACTTTTGGCCTTAAATAACACATGTAGTCTACTTGTTACCATTTGTTGAACTCTACCACACCAAAATCAAAATCCTTGTCCCAATTATTGTGGTTTGTGGACATGAATTTTTCATCTTTTGCTAAATTCATTTATTTTACTACCTTACTCGATGTCAGTGTTGGTCATCCACTTTTCTTGGCAACACTACCAATGACAGGAGCGGAACTATGTTGGGGCAGGGTGTTAACACTAGTTGAAGTCCATATATTTATTTCCCTTAATGTTTAAAGAGCACATTTGGATTTAAATAAATGGCCTGATTTCCACACTATCTAGTGGATATGAAAATCTTCTGTGTCAAAAATTATGTAGTGATCAACAGTGTGTCAAACTCACCATATAATATTTGGTTCTCTTTGGAGTTGGTCCACAATTTTTTTCACTGTCTTGATAAATTAATCAGCATTTGTTCCTGTTTCGTGCTTAGTGCTTACTAATTGGTGGCTTCTCTCTTGCAGGGAACCAGCTCAGACAGGTGGTACTACAGGTATCTGACCAAATTGAAATGCTAGTTAATTTTTTTTCTAAAAAAGGATAAACAAAATTCAATAGATGTTTGTTCTTTATCTGTCTTTTTTGTTTGCCTCAAATTGACCACTTGAATATCATTGCAAATTAAAGGAACACAAAACAATATGGGCCTTGAGTTATTGATGAATATGTTTGGTGGACTTGGAGCTGGCGGCTTGACTGTTCCAAACACACCTGATGGTAGCATTTCTCTTACCTTTCTGTCATATTTATAATTAAATTCCTTTTTAGTTGGTTTGTCTTTGAGCTCCACTTAAAACTCAAAAAATGTGTATGTATTTGTTTCCGTAGTTCCTCCAGAAGAACTTTATGCGACTCAACTGTCACAGCTTCAAGAAATGGGTTTCTTTGACACGCAAGAAAATATCAGGGCTTTGCGTGCTACATCAGGGAATGTTCATGCTGCCGTGGAACGACTTTTGGGGAACCCCAATCAGTAGTCTCAACACCTGTTCTATATCTAAATTGAAAGACTCGTGGGGCATGTAAAACTATTCATTATACTGGTGTCTTCTAAAGGTTAAAGACGAAATAGCACTTTCAATTCCATTTTGGGCATGTGAATAAGAAAGTGCACGCCTCGATAGTAAGAGCTCTGAACGTGCAGATAGAGACTTTTGCATTACTCTCTCTCTCTCTCTCTCTCGTGTGCCTGTGTACATACAATTTTTAAAGCATGTTTTTTCTATGAATTTGTCATGGTCCGTTTTGTTACATCATTAGATCTACATTTGATTTATATTTTACATATTGTTAAGCTTCTGATATTTTTCATATTTTTTAAGCTTCTGATCTGGGAATAGTTCAGTTTATGTCTTGTTATGTGAGGAGTGAGGACCAAGACCCAAAATACTGCAAACCAGTGGTGAATGGAATCGTTAGAAAGCAGCTATGATATATGTAGTTGTCTTACGGGAAACTAATATGATCGTGGTGTCTGTTCCACCGCCATAGCCCGTTAGTTCCAAGAATTTGTTTCATTGGTCTAAATTGACCCATGAAGGGTAGAGTTAGTAGTGATCTTGAGCATGTTTTGATGGATATACTTGAGTGTTGGAACTTGCATGGTTAGGCTCAACCAAACTTTGAGATCTTTCCCTTTCTTTTTTTTATGTTGTTTTGTTTTGGGTGGAGGGGTGGCTTTGAATCTTGCCCTGATATGGTTGGTATGTGAAATTCCAAATGCCACTACACCTACTACATGTATATCCATACATGTACTAGGGCATGTAGTAGGATTGTGGTCTCTCGATCTTCTGTGACTTAAAATCCCTGTTTCATTCTATCTCATCTCAATTCATTTGGTGATCAGGTATGTGTCGTAGTCACGCTTTTATTAGTGAATCTAAATACAGGACTTTATGGCAACAATGTTTTGCTAGTTCGAACCCGTGTCTCTGGAGCTGTGTGTAGTTTGGGTTAAGAATGGTAACTCACAAGTACCTTATGTTCACGAGGATCCAGATTTTTATCATTTTTTTTTGGCATTTCAGTAATATATAAATAATGATTCTTACTTAAATTTATGTATGGTAAAATGGAGTGAATTTGTGATGCCCAATAGTCCAATCTCACTAATAATCATCCGGTGAGAATAAGTGAAAACAGTTGAGTGGATTAATAAAACAACAGCCAAATTTATTCCCGTGGCGCCATAACCCAATTTTACCCTCAAGAGAACTAAAGTAATGGAAAACAATATTTCTGCTAGACTAATGCTATTAAGGCCTAAAAAATTGTTGTATGGTTAGATTTCTTTGCCCTCAAGCAAGTTAAGCGGGGTTTATGGTGCATCTCATCTCAGACTCGTTGCAGTTGCTTCTCTGCAGGGTGGGTCACTTCCCCTTATAGGTAGTCGGTAGGCCCCCCACCCACCAATGGTTAATGTTAACTTGTTAAGTCCACAAAATCACAGCAAAGAGCTAGTCATACAACTAGCCACTGATCATCATCATGTGCATGAATATCGAGAGAAAATGTGGGAACATGATAGAGATCCCTAACTGAAAATAACTACCCCATTTCGAAGTGGTCTCTCTCGCGGAAAGTGGTAACCGCTCGGACTACATAAGACACCCAGCAGCCATTTGTTCAACTTTTTTCGCCATTCTGTTTTTCTTGAAGGCCATAGTGATGAACAACTGCAACACTAGAGATTTTCAACCCTGTCATTCACCAGCCAGTCGAGAAATCTTTCCAAGCTTTGAGTCTCAGTGCCCTGGTGGCAACTTTGCCCTCGTAAACTGCCATCAGAAATCCAAAAAGAAGAGAACGAAGTTGATCCGAATCAACAACCTGGTTGGGGTCAGTTCGAGTGGTGTTACCAAGCCCAAGAATGGAAAGAAGCCAGACCCCAGTGCTCCAAAGATTACTAGGCCCTGTAGTGAGTGTGGCAAGAAGTTTTGGTCATGGAAGGCTCTTTTTGGGCACATGCGATGCCACCCGGAGCGCCAGTGGCGTGGCATTAACCCTCCCCCAAATGTCAGGCGACCCATGTTGTATGAAAATAATGAAAATGATCTCCACGCCCTATTGTCCGAGGAGGATCACGAGGTTGCTAAGTGTTTGTTAATGTTGGCTAATGGGTCTAGTGCTTCGGAGACGCCCACTGTTTCTAATATGGAGAAGGAGACTGCCACTACTACTTCTACTAGTACCGCCAATCAAGGCCAATCGTTATGTGGTACTATTGCTAGGGATGCAGTGATTGGTGGTGGGGACGTAGATGGTGCTGATCCTTCGTATGTGAACTGTCGATTTGAGTGCTCGAGTTGCAAGAAAGTGTTTGGGTCTCATCAGGCTTTGGGGGGTCATAGGGCTAGTCACAAAAATGTAAAGGGTTGTTTTGCAATTGCTCGGAATGATGGGGAGGATGAGGATCATGTTGGTGGACATGATGATGATAGAAATGAAGGGGAGGTAAAGGACAATGGGGACAATAAGATGCTGATGGTTTTGGGGCACAAGTGTAGCATATGTTTAAGGGTTTTCTCGAGTAGCCAAGGCCTAGGTGGACACAAGAGGCGCCACTGTGAGAACGTAGATGAACCATGGGGGCTATCGCAAGGGCTCCACCCTTTTGCAGCAAAGAAGGGTTGTGGTTTGGACTTGAATCTGCCTGCCCCAGGTGAGGATGATTCATCATTGTCAAATTATTCTTCAGGACTCACTTTGGATTTAAGGTTGGGATTATGAAGATGTCATCAAGGATCTTTCATATGGTCATTTGCTTGAATTGATTTGTTCTTGTAGCCTGAAAAGTGTTCATGATGGCTGCCAAATTGGGAGTCAAAAATTTGCAGTCCATGTACTACATGGTTAAACTCTATATTTCTATGTACTAATTACTAATAAACAAAAGATTCATTTGCGCGGAAGTAGGTGATTCTCTTCATTTGATCTGTGCATTATTCATTGGTCCATTCATTATGTTTTATAAGGACTCATGAACAGTGAGGGGTTTACACTTGAACAACTTTAGGCTATCCAAGTTGACAATTACTTCAGTGTGTTTAAACTATCTAATGTGAAGGTGACATGTTGCTAGATAAGGAATATGTCATATTGTAACCTAGTTCACATATACTGTCCCTATTTTGAAGTCTCCAAAATCAGAATACCCCAAGAGACGGGGATTAGGATCACTTGTACTTTTGTATCCTTGAATAGCAAAGAGGAACAGAACAGATGATCAGAACAAACTGAATATTGATATCTTATTAGACATTGAGAATGGTTTATGTGTTCATTAGAACTTGATTCTCTTCATTCTCAGGAATTGTGCTAGACTGAGGTAAACAAAAAGAAAACTACTCCATCTTTTTGAAAGCAACATCAAAAATTCATTCAATTTTTCTTCCACGCAATGGCTTTGGGTTTGCTTCAGCAAAACTACTATACGTGGTCACCAACAATATACTTTCAAGCTTTAGGTGTTTTCATGAAATAATAATAGACCAAGTTATCCTAAAAAACAATCATAGATATTTAGAGTTTAAGGATACTGCTTTGTGGAAAGCTGTATACGCCCAGGCTGAATATCAGTCTGTTGAAGACAGAAGTCAAACGGCATACACCTCTGCAACAGGTCATATAGCAGACTCAGGTCACGGAATCGTCCTTGTGGAAACCAATTGAAAACTACTTATGATGGAGCTTTCCAGCCAATGTCGGCAAGTTGCAACAGGGGTGGTAATGAGGTATTCTGATGGTCTGCTAGAACAGGGCAGAGCGAGACTTATTACACTAGTTTCAGCAGTATTCTCTGAGGCTAATGCATTTCGAGATGCCTGTCTGATGGTACAACTTTGAACCTGTCTGATGATCAGTGAGAAGGATAGTGGAGACCTTATGCTATTCTGTCCCAGTGATAATGCTTAATTTCAAAGTGATCATCCTTAATGATTATTGAAAATTAGGGACACGGTACAAGATTTCCAAGACCGTTCAGGAAGACTTAATGTTCAGTTCAGACATCAATCCTGTAACAAAGCTGCACATCGGGTTGCTGCTGAAGCTTTCAAAAGCTCTCTTTTGTGAACTTGGGCTGTATACCTGCCAGCTGCGTTGCAGAGGATTCTTCTGTTAGGTTGTGACTATGCTCTTTTTAGGTTTGTGACTAAATGTTGAAGATAAAAAACCTCTATGCAGGAGAAAAGCAGTGGATATAGTAACTTTTAGTTTATTCCTTGGGAAAAAATGCCCTCCAGCATAACATTAGGAAACAATTTTCAATATTCTTTAGTGTTAGTTGAATCAGTGTGTTTAGTTTGGCGAAAAAGATGTAGACCAGCCTAAAGGACGGAAGTGATAATCCTGCAGAAGTTAACTACAGGCTTACAGATAGGCAATTTAATAACATTTCTTCCAATGGTGGCTTTGAAAGTCACCATTCCAGTATGTATTCTGTTGGTTTCAGTAGTAGTGGGAATGGTTGGAGACTATGGCATATTAAAACATGGGAATGAGATAAAAGGGGATGGATTCCTTCACTATTTGTGCAGAAATTATAAATGGAAGATATTAGTTGTTTTCGACCATTGAATGATTAAGCCCTTTCCTGCTTGCATAAGAGAATGGTGGCATGCCCACATTCACCATTTCCATAATAATGAGTCGCACCCCAACATTGCTCACTCAAATGGCACTCTTAAGATTATTTTTCATTTGACCTACACATCTATAGAAGGTACACCTAAGTAATCTGCTCTTTTTAATTATAAAAGTACCTATGAAACTTCATAAAATGAAGGCACGGGGAAGGACAATTGATTTGCTTGGATCGGCCTTTTAGTTTGAATGGAGTTTATCACAATCCCACATCTTGATTATGATAGCTAGCCATTCAATTGTGCTCGCTATTCTCTAGAGCAAACATACTGCATACCCCTGCATCTTCTCAAGTGTTATACCCCCTATTTTACATGTCCACTTATGTGTGCGTGATTATAACCCTGTTAAATGTTTTATATTATTATTGGATTATCTCAAATATACGATTATTTTCTCTGCGTGTGATTGAAACTAATTTCCATTACGGACAAGAAAAAAATCTGATCAAGTTACCTGGCGTGATCAAGTCCTATTGCTGATTTAAACCAAGGATTGGCATTGGTAAATTCCATTTAGTTAACCTACTCACTACCCAGTTTACAAGAAGAATTTCATAAGGTTTTTCTGGCTATGCTTATTCCATTTCTGGTGAGGGACACCTAGTCCTTAATAATTTATACATCAGGTTTTGAGGAGTCCTCCCCTACCTGTTCATTTGACCACTACTTTTCCATGGAATCAGACTGGTAAACCAACTTGTTCTTTGCCTTAATTAGTGGACCTAATTATGTGGAAACCAAGTATGAAGTAATCAATTCTTGTTTACAAATGATAAAGTCATTTTATTTAAAAAAATGGTTTGACTTTAGAGGGAGGACACACTTCTGATGTATGTATGATCCAGTATGGATGTTTTGATGGGCAGTTTACTTTTGATGCCTTTATGATTAAAATATGGAGATGCCTTTGATGTAACTAACCAGGCGGATTATACTTGTCAACTTTGGTGGAAAACAAAATGGGATTATCACGTAATGACGCTCAAAACAGAAAAAATTATCAGAACCCCTATGGAAATGCATTCACTTCTCCTAAGCTAAAAGCTAAGTTGTGTGAACTAGCAATCAGGTACACGCAATGTCATTGTATTAAAATAGACTTGAAATATTTGAAAGAGAAAAAGGGATACTCAAACTAAGGGTAGAACCCCGTATATATAGCCAAATAATAATACAAAGTGACTTAAACATCCTTGTGGTCTAGACAAAATATAAAAGTCATAGTAAAAGTAAAAAAGGGAAAAGAAAGCCTAATAAACTAGACTATACTTCAACACTCCCCCTCAAGCTAGGCGCAAAAATATCAACTAAACCAAGCTTGACAACTGAGTCCCGGAGAATGGATAAAGTGACAGGTTTGGTGAAAACATTTGCAACCTGATCACTAGTCCCCACAAACAATGGAGTGACAATACCACAACGAACCTTCTTCCGAAGAAAATGAACATCAATCTCTATATGTTTCGTCTTCTCGTGTAATACAGAATTAGAAGCGAGTTGAATAGCAGATTGATTATCACAATATAATGTAGATGAAGAAGTCACTGAAAATCCCAATTCGCCAAGAATCGATCGTAACCAGATAATCTCACATGTGTCAAGCGTCAGTGCTTGATACTCTGCCTCTGCTGATGAACGAGAGACAACTGTCTGTTCCTTGCTCTTCCAAAAGATAAGATGAGTCCCTCGAAAAGCACAGAAGCGCGTAATGGATCAACCGTCACATGCTCCCCCGTAATCTGAATCTGAATAGCAGGCTAGAGAACCAATCTGAGATCCTGATACATAGAACAACTCAAGTTTAGGACAAGACTTGAAATACCAAAAAATATAATAAACTGCATCAAGACGAGGCTGACACGGCCTGTGCATGAACTGACTAACTCGGCTGACAGCGAATGAAATGTTTGGCCTAGTGTTGGCTAGATAGATAAATCTACCCACCAACCTCTGATACACAGTCGGATCTTTCAATTCCTCACCGTCAGTAGTAAGCTTCAGGTTTGAAATCATGGGTGATGATGCCGGTTTGCACCCCAACATTCCAGTGTCTGAAAGAAGATTTAGGACATACTTTCTCTGAGAAATAATAATACCCTTGCTGCTATGGGCAACCTCAATCCCAAGAAAGTATCACAAAAATCCAAGATCCTTCACATTGAAGGTCTTCCCAAGGTCTACCTTGATCTGCGCAGTCCCAGAAACATCATTGTCAGTAATAATAATATCATCAACATATACCAAAAGGATAACACATTATCTAGAAGTATTCCGTCGAATGATATAGGTATGATCAAAATGACATCTGATGAACCCTAAACGTACGACTACATCACTAAAGCAAGAGAACCAGACTCATGGTGACTGTTTCAGTCCACAAAAAGACTTACGCAGTCGATATACCTTTCCAGCATACTCCCCCTCACCACGAAAGCTCGGTGGTGCATCCATATAAATAATCTCGTCCAAATCACCATAAAGAAAGACATTCTTCACATCTAACTGATAAAGAGGTCAAGAGTACTCCGCAGCCAAAGAAATAATCAATCAAACAGTAGTCAATTTTGCCGTAGGGACAAATGTAGCACTAAAATCACGACCTGGTATCTGAGTAAAGCTTTCGCTACAAGCCTACCCTTGTGACGATTAATAGTACCATCTGCAAGAAACTTCAGGGTGTAAACCCAACGACAGCCAACAGGTTTCACCCCTGAAGGTAAAGAGACAAGATCCCACGTATGATTACGCTGAAGAGCATCTATCTCCGTTTGCATAGCAATAACCCACTGGGGCTCCTGCAGAGCCTCTGAAACAGAGCGAGGAACTGACGTATTTGATAAGGTCATACTATAAGCTCAAAATGTAGGAGACAGATCATCATAAGAAACATAAGTAGAGATCGGATATAAAACCCTAGCAGTCCAACCATAACGAACAATTGGATGACTATCACACCACGGATAACGACACCTTAAATCATCATCCTCTACTGATAATGTCTCATCAGGTAAAGTAACTGGCTCAGCACTTGCAATATCATCAGTACTAACAACAAGTGCATCAATATGCTCAATGAACTGAGAAATATTACCTGTATCGCCTGAGATAGAGGGGACATCAGCAGGGGGATGAAAGCAAGAACGACAAACATAAACTTGCAAAGGAAGAGAGATTGGTGACTCTATACTGACAAGTATGAGTGGCTCTAAAGGAGGAGAGACTGATGACTCTTTAGTGATAGTGACCAATAGTTCTGGCTCCTGTGGTAACGAAAAATCAAAGGGAGTATCATCAACTGGAGGGGCAGACACAGGACTGGAAGAAAAATAAGGAATATGTTCAAACAAAATAACATGTAGACTGTGATACATACGTCGCCTGACAGGATCATAACATCGATACCCCTTAGACTGATGACAATAGCCCACAAAGACACAACGAATTGCTTTATTATCAAGCTTATGACGAGTAGGAGACCGATCTTGAACAAAATATGTGCAACCAAAAACACGAGAGGGGATCAAAAAAAGTGTCCGCTAAAGGAATAAGACCTGTAAGGGAGTCCTATGCTGAAGAATACGACTCGGTGTGAGATTACACAAAAAGGTAGACGTTAAAACAACAAAATGCCAATAAGATTTTGGTACCCCCATGCCTCTAAGCATACAACGTACCATCCCTATCAGACTTCTATTTTTTCTTTCAGCAACTACATGTTGCTCAAGAGTATATGGACAAGTGAGCTGCTGAAGGATACCTTGAGAAGAAAGGTGAGACACTAAGGCATCAGACACATATTTTTTGGCATTATCCGAACGAAGAGCACGAACAATGACATCGAATTGTGTCTTAATCATCTGGAGAAATTGAATGATGACAGAGAGTACATCCGACTTCCTATGCAAAAGGTAGACACAAGTACAATGGGTATGGTCATCTATAAATGACACATAATATTGAGCACCTGACAGAGCAGTAATAGGAGAGGGTCCCCAAATATCATAGTGTATTAAGTCAAATGGTTTAGGTGACTGGTGCATGCGAGGAATACAACTGGTTCGAACATGTTTTGATAGGGAATATATAACACAGTCAAGTTTACCATTAACACAAGCTTTGCTCAAAGAAAAAAATAACATACATAAATATTTAAAATTTGTATGCCCAAAACAGTCATGCCACAACTGAACAGTTTGTGATGAAAAATTATAATGACAAGTACTAGATAAAATACTAGCATGCAAGCTAGGAACAGATAGAGACAAAGCAGGTGATGGAAGTGGAGGTGGAGAATTGGTGAAACCGGAGATGGATCGCCTAGATAATATAGTTCATTTCTCTCATGTCCCCTGATAATAATCCTCTTGGTACTTAGATCCTGCAAATAACACGAATCAGATAAAAATACAATTGCATAGTAAAAATATCTGGCTAACTAATGTATAAATAATAGATTTATGGTCAGTTTTAGCGCATG